ACATCCGGACGCCGCTTGGCTGCAACTAACCGCCTGGCGGTTGAGCGCCAGCTCCTGTCGGGGTCTAACCTGCCCCACGACGTGATTGACACCATCTCGGCGGCACGCCGGCCGGCCACGGTACGCATCTACGCGGCTACGTGGCGTTCCTTCGCGCAGTGGTGCATACCGCAGGGAATCGACCCGAAGCAGGCCTCAACTAACCAGGTACTCGTCTTCCTTCAGAAGGGGTTAGCCGCCGGCCTCGCGCCGAACACGTTACGCAGGCAAGTGGCTGCTTTATCCTCCATTCTCTGTTTGGGGTCCCGTAATTCTTTGGCTCAACGTCCTCTGATTCGTTTATTCCTAAAAGGGGCTTCGAATCTTCGGCCCCCTCCCGTCCATCGTTTCCCCACCTGGGACCTCCCAAAGGTGTTGAACGCCCTTACTAGGGAACCATTTGAGCCCATTCGTACAGTGCCCCTTCGATTCCTCTCCTATAAGGTATCCTTTTTGGTCGCTATCACCTCCGCTAGACGGATCTCAGAATTAGCTGCCCTCTCCGTGAGGGCGGACCTCTGCATCTTCCACCCGGACAGGGTAGTACTCCGTCTAGACCCAACCTTTCAACCAAAGGTTAATTCCCTATTTCACAGATCTCAGGAGTTGATACTTCCCGACTTCTGTCCTCGCCCATCCCATCCGAGGGAGCGTGTTTGGCACTCCTTGGACGTTCGCCGGGCTCTACGCATTTACCTTCGGCGGACGTCCTCATTTCGCAGGTCGGAGGCGCTTTTCGTCTCTTTCCAACCATCCACCCTTGGCCTCAAGGTCTCCTCCCATACGGTGGGTCGTTGGCTCCGCGCCACTATAGCCTCCTGTTACGAGGCTTCTTCCACTCCTATCCCCAGGCGGCTCACTGCCCATTCTACCCGCAGTGCCGCCACTTCAGCAGCTTGGGCCACCCAGGCCTCCCTCCTTGACATCTGCCGGGCCGCCACCTGGGCGTCCCCTACTCCCTTTATCCGCCACTATAAGATCGATACTTTCGCTTCGGCGGAGGCGGCATTCGGCCGCCGGGTTCTCCAACAGGTTTGTGCGGACCAGGCCTCCACGTCCCGGGCGGATCCCCCCCTATAGTTCTCAGGCTTTGGCATGTCCCTTTCCTGACCGCTGTCTTCCCGCTTCCCTAGAACGGGCGTTGTCTTACCTGAACGCCCCTTCTGGGGACTGGGAAGACAGCGGTCAGCCCCACCCTTTTTCTCCGCCAGTTCGTCTCGGCTGGTCCACTTCTTCTTTCTCGTAATTTCAGGGCTAGTGCGTCGTCAGGAAAACATCACATTCCTCGTCCGAAAGCTGGCAAGCGAGAGGAGGAGGAGCTTATCAACTTTCCTGACCCGATCTTCGCTGGATTGGAGCAGATAACCCTTTCCTGACCGCTGTCTTCCCAGTCCCCAGAAGGGGCGTTCAGGTAAGACAACGCCCGTTTTCTCCAAAATTTCTTTAATATCTTTTAAAATTGGAAATCAACTGAGATGTGAATGTACCATAATTACATTAAATAATTTAAATTGATGTTCTCAGTATTTCATTCTTTTTTTTTCCTCTGACCATGCCCACTTTCAAAATCTTGTATGTAAACTCTGCATGTTTGGAAACACAACCCTAGATTTTCTATATTCTTTTCTTCTTTCTGCTTCAAAACTTTTTAAAGAAAGAAATGCATGTTTTCTCTTTTCTCCCAAATCTCCATTGTGATGAAAGCATTTAGAAAACAAAACCACAATACTCTTGGCAGGAAGTGCTTAAATAAAACCATTGTGCTAAAATTCTCTTCTAATGAGAAGATAAATTTTAGCTGATCCATGACACTGCATATTTCTTCTTTATGATAAAATCAGGTTTAAATCAAGTATTAGATGGTAATTCTGCACCTTTCCTATGGAATGCCTCCATATTCTAACATATCAGGAGTTGATATGTGATAATATGTTGAAGAAACTGCATTCTGGACATATTCAGACAGGTTTACTGATTGACATTTTTTTGAACAAAGAGGACACAATGTTTATTTGTTTGTTTGTTTGTTTTAAACTGGGCATTGCCTTATTCCAACTGACTCTGGATGGTTAGCAAGATGGGATATGGGAACAATATAGAAATCAAAACAAAACTAACAGTGATGTGTCCAACAAGAGGCCTCATCTGTATCACCCCAAAGCCTGGAAGAACAATCAGTTCTCCAATGCTTTACAGAAGGCCAACAAGATGGAAGGCACATGTATTTCAGTGCAGATCTCACTCCAAACTGTAGGTGCTGTGATAGAAGATATGCTTACTGGGACATAACAGATGACACTGTTTAATCAAAGGGACTTGTAGCCTCCCGGCTGTCTTTGCACATATGGCCAGGAAGAAACCATGGAAGATAGGCGTTCCTCAAATAATCTGACCTCAAATCATGTAGGGCATTATAGGTAATAATCATCATCTTGAATTGCATTTAGAAGCAGACTAGCAAACAGAAAAGGTCGTTTATTTATTTTGGGTGATTATATTTATTTTTAGGAGATACTTTAGAATGTATGCTTTTATTTGTTTAAACTTGTTTGCATTTAGTTCCACCTTAGTCTGTGAACTAAAGCTTTGCATTTCAATTACGTGCATTTCAAAAACTCCATCTGATCTATTTTTTGGTGGAATGGGTAGTGTTATGGATCAACTACTTGGAATAAACTATATTTCACATGACAATGCTAATGCCATTATTCCAGCTTTTTAGACATGAAGAGTAACAAGAAGCAATAGCTTCATTCATTCATTCAATTTGTATGCCGCCCCTCTCTGAAGACTCAGGGCAGCTCACAATGCATTTAAAATCATTATAAAAAACATTTAAAAATTAAAAATATTAAAAACATTACAAAAGAATCACTGATAAATTTATAGTAGTGAGATTTCAGAAGCAGAAACCACAAGTTTATCAAACTCTATTTTATGGTTTACTTTAATAGCAATAGACTATAATCTGATGTATTCCTTATATACAGCATGTTGAATTATAGTACTTGACTTTATTTACATGGTATATTTTTGTACAGTTTTATATTTCTTTGTTTTTAGGTATCATGGAATTATGTTAATTCAACTACCTGATACTGTAAATAAAATAAAGGCTAAAAAGGGACAAAAAGAAAAAATGTATTTTTCCCTTCCATGTTTTTGAGATGCAATTGTGTGTCATGTATAATAAACACTGTGCATAGTACAACAGAGTAGTTTTGACATAAAGTTTGCAGAAATTTCCTCAAAAACTACATCCAGTAATAATTTGGCTTCTTAAGACATAGTTTAGATGGCTAAGCCTTCACCACCACCCCTCCCGTCCTGAGTCATTCAGCTTGTGTGCATTCTGGAAGCAAAACAAATAGTTGGTGGATAAAAGAGCCTTCTGCAAATCTGTAGCCAATCATGCAAGTTATTTTGTATATGCTTTAGCCTTGAACTTTTGGAACGGTGTTCAGAATATTTTCTCAAAATATCCAATGCTTTAATGACAAAATGCAGCTGTCTGCTATCACCCTGAGCTTGTAGATATACAGAGTGTTTTTTAGTTGATAAAATAAACTGGGAAAAGAGATAATGTGTTTTCAGAAACTTAAGAGGCCTCATTAGCTTCTTTATGGCCTTTAGACATATTCATAGGAAGACTATACCTACTGAGATAGGTGATAATAACAGCATCTTCCAGGTTTACTTCAATTTTCTCTAGGGTCCCTGGGATTGTTACACTTTTAGGCTTTAAAGGAAGGAGGTGCACATTGGAAGGAACAGCAGCAATTTCTCAACCTGCAGATTGGTGAGGGTAGTCCTTTGACTTTGGCAGAAAGATTAGCAATTGCCATGGTGCTCGAGGCTAGGAATTGGTGAAGGATATGCTTTTTTTGTTGATTAAACCCCCAACCTCAAAGCCTACATTTGGCTCTGAATATCCACGCCCTACCGATACGAGAAGTAGAGCGCACCCTACTACTTGAAACTTAGTAACTTCCAATAGGATGGCTAAATTGGAATATGTATGTAGGTAAGCCTGATGGAGCCAGGTACCTTGATCCTAGAATATGATAGTACTCAAAGATTCTAGCTCAAATCTGTGTATCTGATGTGTCAGATAGCATGCCATTTCATGCTTGTTTTGTGGGAACAATGAAGAGCATTGAGTATATGCCTAATAATCTGTCATCCCGTGGAATCTCTTGAATCACGTGTACGCTGAAAAGGTGATTGATAGCCTTCTGAAAGTCATGGAGGATAGTGTGATTATCATTTTTTTGCCTGTCTTCATCCTAAGAGATATTGGGATTAGAAGCGTTACCAATAGTAATTCAAAGTCAATTGAGCCACTTTTAATTTAAGAATTAAAAATCTATCCTGGTGTATGAGAGGTAAAGAAAGGAAGATACAGCTAGACTTGAAAGATGCTTTTTATTATTGCCTATTTCAATAAGGTATAGTTTTAGTCTTCCTATGACTATTTCTAAAGGCCATAAATCACCTTCTCCACATACATTCCTGGGTAAGGGAAAGAAAAAAGAATCAGCAGTTGTATTATCCAAGCCTTATAAACTGACATAACAGCCAACGTGTCCCAGCTTGCATTTATTTGTTCCCATTGTGTTTCACGTGCCTATAAGGGTGGGTAAAATAGCTTAGTGTATTATATAAGCCCACATCATGCTTTATAGTTTGTGAACAAGACAGAATTTTAAGCCACCTTGGAACTAGAGTTATAGCTAACAACTCCTGCATACTTATGGAAAAATATATTTTAAAAACAGCAAATAAATTTTAGATAAAACACTTAAATATTTTTATCTCCTTTGCTCTCCAAAGGAGAAGTATTTGAACTCTGTATAATCTGTGGATTAATTAGCCCCAATTTAACATAACGTGATATAGAAATATTCCTAACAAACCAAATTTCTCCAAGTATCTTAAAATAAGCAAGAAACTCCAAAATATGCCTTGGTGCAAACATTTTATTGACCCACTTAAGACATGTTCATTCATACATTTCTGATGCAAATACCATCAGCTTGCCACAAAGCATTAAAGCACAATAAATCCAATATTTAAACATTTACAGCATTTCATTTTTGTAATTTCTTCTCCATCTAAACAAGTATCTGAGCAGCAGACAAGTATTAAGAAAAATGGAGGATCCATCCAGTAAAAATGCAGATATTTATATTAACCGTACTTCCAGGAATACAAATGAGAAAATAGTTTACTCGAAGAAAATGAGGCTCAAGTCTTTGGATTTAAAAAACAAAAACAACCATCCCCCAAAACAGCATTTAAGAAGACCTGGCCTTCTTGGCATTTCTGGGAAGAGTCTTGTAAACATTTTGCAAACATGAAAAAGGTAAGCCTAGAAGATATTGCTAGTTGGCGATTGGCAGTTTTGAGGGGAGACAAGCAAGGAAAGGTTGTATCTGGTGTAAAGCAACACCGTAAAGCTGCCAGCATTTCTATTAAATTGAATATAATACATATGCTGGCAAAAGTACTGGGACTGTAAGTCCAATATTACCAGCCTGCATTTCTAGAAAGACTCTTAGCGAAGACACTTTTTAGCAAATACAAGGACTGATAGTACTCATCCCAAAGTGGCTATATTAAGTAAGCCTACTAGAAAATGCACTGTAACTCTTACACCAGATGTTTTCAAGGCAAGAACATACACAAACAAAATGTTATGTCTCTAACAGTCCTTTGTAAGGCTACAAAACCTGTTAACGCCAAAAGCCCGAGACAAATGCCAATTTCAGGAAACCCACCTACTTGGCAAAGGACCATATTTGCTGTTTATTTTGCATGCTAATATTTTCCACAGCATCTCTGCTCTTAGGCATTCTGCATTTCTTTGCCGATCTTGTAGCTGAGGATTTTGTTCCAGTCAATTTTAGTTCGGGTGACTGGTAGCTGGCGACGCAAGGCTTTGAATGTGGTATCTGACATTGTCTGATAATTTTCACTGATTGCTGTCTGCAAATAATTCAGTTAGTTAGAGGTTAGAATGTCAAAATGTACATATTTATAATGTATACTGATTAACTACTAAAGGATTTTAACCCATCCTACTATGCCCTTTGCTAGATTGCTCAAAGCAAGATAAAAGTACATTTGCTTTACTTGCTCAGTGCATGCTCTGCTTAGATAGATCATTTCCCCATGCAGGAAAAGGAGCGCTGGTATACCCTCTCAAATAATTATTATTATAAATAATAATAATGCTCAAAGAGAGGCAGAGTGATTCTGCCTGGGTTGATAAAAGATTAACCTATGGATGGCATGGCACTTTTTCTGAAGAACCATCACCTGAAATCATCAAATCCTGTTCTCTTCTACTTTCCTATGACTAATCTGCTCCCACACTATGTAGCTTCAAATTTTAGTGGTTCAATCTTTTGAGAGCTTCAAAATTATTTATTAAGCAAACTCCTATATCAATCTTCTGTAAAAGTCATGTAATAAATAAATGGACCCAGGAGCTAGTTTTGATATTTCTCACAAATCATGGGGAGGGAGGAAAAAAAAAAAGGAATCTCCCTCTTGGGGAAAAAAAAAGTTCCGTACTATCAATGTTGCTTTGAACAGAAATCATATCCCCAAATGCAGTCATACCCTTTTCAACAATGTGTGGCCAAGTTAAAAAGGTATTTTGTTTAGCAAATAAATGCTACAGTGAAAAACTACTTGTGAGTCCTGTGCAAGCTACCTTAAATTTATTATGTAAGAAATATGAAATATACATATAATAAAACGAATGAAAAGGTTTATAAGTGTGTAACGTATTTCAAATCTGGACATAGTTGGAAGCCTCAGATGCAGTGTGTGGAGAAGAAGTTAAAAAGAATTACACTTATTCTAAAAGGGAGGTCTTAGAATAGAGAGCATAATTGAGACAGATGTGATGACTATTCAACAGGGCTGAATAAAACATGGGACTGTTGTCTATGAATGCTGGAGGGCTGCAGGCCAAAAGGGTGAAATGCCTGGTCCTAGAAGAGAGTACAAATATCTGAAATCTGGTAGAACCTGGTTAAACTCTATAGGAAAAACAAGGAAAGGGATAGTGAGAAGTGCTCCTGAGATGTAAAAGAGACCATTTAATTAAGTTGTCTTGACATCCATTAAAGGGGCAGATCATTTGTGTCATCAGAGTGACACAATCACTCAAAATAAAAATATCAGGTCATAAAAGGAATGTTGATATGGGTGATGTACTACCACCCGCATAATCAGGATGCCCATAGAGATAGAATTAGAGAAGAAAATCAGAGACATCCCCAAAAATAATTGTTATAATAATGTAAGATTTAAATTATCCACACAATGACTGGGTAAATGTCTGCACAAACCATGACAGGGAGGTAAAATCTTCTATAAGGTGTTCAAGACTTGGTATAAGAATATATGTAGTTGATTGGAAATGATAACCATACTGCAATAAAATTTAATGTTCAAAAAAGTGATAGCCAACATAACAAGTCCCACAAAGTCATATTTCACCTCAAAAAGAGAATTTCTCAAAATTGAGAAGACTGATGAAAAAAAAATTCAAACGAAAATCCAAAGAGGTATACTCCTTCCGTAAAGTTTGGGTCCTGTTTAAAAACATAGGATAAATAATAGAGGCTTAAAAAGAATGTATTCCTAAAATTAGGCAAATGGCCCCCAAGTCCAAGAAGAGGCTTTTATGATTGACTAATACTGTAAAGAAAGCTATTAAGGTCAGGAAAGTTTTTAGAAAGTACAAAACCTATTCCCAATAAAAGAAACAAAGAGGAGCACAAATTCTGTCAAAAGAAATGCAAAGAAACAGTGAAGGAGGCAAAAAAGAAATTTGAAGAGCACCTGACTCAAATCGTGAAAATTGTAATAGAAAATGAGGGGTCCTTGGGGTTGAGTTTTGTTACTTTCTTGAAGACGCTTCATTACTTCAAACTAGGTAACATCATTAGTGCTAGTGCATTCACAGTGCATTTCAACCCTGAGCTACAAATATTCTCTTTTATTAATAATAGAAAATTCTTCAAATACATTAAAGTCAAGGTAAACTGGTGGGTCTGCAGACTAAAAAAAGCATTGTGATTAACACCAGCTGTCTGCAATTACTGTAAATTCGAATCTCACCAGGCTCAAGGTTGACTCAGCCTTCCATCCTTTCTAAGGTAGGTTAAATGAGGACCCAGTTTGTGGGGGCAATAAGCTGACTTTGTATAAAATATACAAAAGTATGAAGGCTATTGCTTAACGCACTGTAAGCCGCCCTGAGTCTCCGGAGAAGGGAGGCATATAAATCAAATTAAAAAAAAAAAAAAAAAAAAGGAAGAAGGTATGTTAAGAAGAGAAAATTGCCCAGAAGACAATTTGCTTCCATCTTCAAGCAGAAAAATTAGGGGAGATCCCCAAGCCCATTCTCAGGAAGGAAATTAGACAAACTGAACCATATAGTGGCAATAGGAGAAGAACTTCTAAGCCTTATTGACCATTTCTACATCAACAAATCACCAGCCCTGATGATAACCCTTCAACCCAAAGGTTATGAAGGTTTCAAGTTCCTTAATAATCTTTGGATTGAAAGGTGCATCTTCAACTGAAATATGCAACCTGTCTTTACACTCAGCCTCTATAGTTGAAGACTGGAAAGTTGCCAATGTAACTTCAATTTTTAAGAAAGACCTACAGGGAGATCAAGAAATTACAAATCTGTCAACTTAATATTCATTTCAGGGAGGACAGTGGAAATTACCATTAAAGATAAAATTACCAAACATTTGGAGACACAATCCAATATAGCTTCACTAAGTCTTAGGACTGCTACTTTTTAATGAACTGGAATTGGATGTGATGAGTGAAATAAGCATCTGATTATTTAGATAACCTGCTTATTTTATTTGGAAAACTCATGTTTATCAGCAAGATGCAGCTCTAATTAACTGTACCAGACTTGAGAACTATATTAAAGGACAGCTGTATCGAAACTTTGAGTCAATCAATCTGAATGATCGTTGTAGTATGTTTTGATTGTTGTAGTGCATACTGTTGGTTACTGTAATAATTGTATCCACTGGGGACAAACATTTTGAGAGGGAAAGAATTTAAGTTCTATGTCCTCCCCTAACAGAGAACTCTAAAACAAATAGAATGCGATTGAAAATGCTGTTTTATAATATTAATAATAAGAATAGTATATTTTATTTTCTTACCTGATACTCATTTTCTGCCTGTTCTATGATTTTAATAAATTCTTTTGCTGTTTGGACATCGTTCTACAAAAAGAATGCAAACATTAGTCTTTCACACTGTATGATTCTTTAGGATTTTTTAATGTTTTATAAGTTCAATTTTATGGCATAATGAATACATATTCCTAAATTTTGAACTTAACTTGGTGCCTCAGGTCTTAGTTTTTGGATGAAAATTGTAAATTTAGTTTGGACTGCATAATTGTTAATCATTATTAAATAACAGATTTGTATTTGGTAAGTGTCTAGATCAAGGGTTCCCAATCTGGGGTGCTCGCACCCCCTGTGGGTGTGAGACGATATTCCAGGGGGTGCAAAAACTTGGGTTTAGAAGTTTCAAAATTATAGTATATATGCATAATAATATGCATATAATTATTTATTTTTGTAAGGGGTGCGACATTATATCAGAAGCGTTCTAGGGGTGTGGGGTATAGGTTGGGAACCCCTGGTTTAGATGAAAATCAATTCTGACAATTTCTCACAGAATAACTATCAATTTATAAACCTAGCTTTTCCTCCTCCAAAATTGTCCTAGTTCAGGGATCCCGTAGGAGCAAAGAAAGATAGGAAAGAAATGTTGTATAAACTGAAATCAACTGCTCAATGTGGATGTAAACCCATTTGTGTGTTTTGAAATGTTTTCTTATTCTAATTTTTCTTTAAGAGCTTAAGGCAACTTAAATGGAGATACTTTATCATTATAATTACATAATAACACATCAGGTTGTATTGTAATCAGTGACTGCATGACCTCTGTTGATGTCATATGCTAAATAAAATAAAATAAAATAAAAACCACATCAGGTAGAGATTCTGACTGGGCACAGGTATACAGTGAGTTTATATGGGTAAAAGTAATTTGGCTTTGAATTTGATTTCTCTCAATCCAGTAATATCCAATACCTTAACCAGTGTGCCACACCCTGACTCACTCTTTGACACAATAATCACCAGCAATACACTATCAAATGATCAAGTATGCCATAATTAACATGTTTCTGGCTTCCTTATTATTCCTTTGCAGTAATTCTTTTTTCATAAAATATGTTCATGGTACAAGTACAGTTGCTGTTAAAGTTTTCTTTTTCTTAGTTTTTCTGAAAATACTTATTTGATGTCTCTTTTATGAAGAGTACCAAAAATATGCTGTACCACATAAATTGGAGTACCACAAACATGAGTACCACATAACTTGGAGTAATCTACAAGATAGTCAGTATCTACAATATAATCCCACCTGAAGAAGGCTTGTTCGCAAATATCATCCCCACATAATTTAATGGTAGAGACACCACAGCTTAAAGCCCTGACTCCAGAGAGGCTGATAAATTGACAATATAATATTTCATCTACTACATCTATGTATGTAGATACAGTAGATGAAATACTATATTGTCAATTTATTGCAGACTCAATTGGGGGAGGGGGTTTAGGTGGAAAACCAACAGTTTTTGATTACAGGTAGTCCTTGACTTATGACCATAATTGAGCCTCAAATTTCTACTGCTAAGCAAGGCAGTTGTTAAGTGACTCACACCCCACTTAACAACTTTTTTTGCTATGGTTGTTAAGTGAATCACTGCAGTTAAGTGAATTCTGTGGTTGTTAAGCAAATCTGGCTTTCCTCATTGACTTTGCTCGTCAATGGGGCTCCAAGAAGGTTACAAATAACAATCCCAGGACCCTGGGATGCTGCAACCATTGTAAATGCATGCCAGTCCCAAGCACCTAAGTTTGATCATATGAGTATGAGGATGCTGCAATGTTCGTAAGTGTGAAAACTGGTCATAAGTCACTTTCTTCAGTGCTATTATAACTTTGAATTATCATTAAACAAATGGTTGTAAATTCAAGACTATCTGTATACAATATTCTTCAAAAGATAGCACATAAACCAAGGTTTAATTCTCTGGCAGAGAGAAAAGTCATTTCTGAAATGCAGAAATTACGTTCTGAACTAAAGTACATCCTGCACAGCACTTTCTCCCCAAGCAAAATCCTATCCACTACTAAATAACTCATAACTCCTATCTTTAAAAGGAGAATTGCATGTAAAAGACAGCAAAATAATGATATATTAAATAAATTTCCTCACTTACACAAAACTGCTACAGATTCCTGTATGTCTTTGTGGCTAACCAGCTGCACATTACCATCTTCATAATAATGCACCTATATAAAAACGAAACCATTGAGGATTTAAATACTTTGTACTAAATTTTGTAAAGGGACGAAGCCTTCCTTCTTTCCTAATTTAAAGAGAAAAAACTTTTCCTTGATGCTTCTGATCAAGTTTTGACAAAGTTAAATGGCCTTGTTTCAAGTTATGCATACCACTGATACAGAATATTTTTACTTATAAAAATATCTTTTTATCTTTTTAAAAATGCTCATTAATTTATACTGAATGCAGTTTTAAAAATTTGGTCATTATTTATAACTATTCAGTTAAATTGCACACAGTAGTTACACAAATCTATATTGTGCAACTATCTTAATTGATATAAAACATCATTTTAGCAATAAGAAAGCACAAACCAAATTTATTTCTCAAGGGTATTGCTATCTTTAAATATATTGGGCCATTTCTAAATAATGCTACCATAGGTAAGCAGTAACACATTTATAGCAGTTAGCAAAGCCTTCTTTTCTAGTCCTTCTTTTCATTAAATTGGACATACCCCAATTCTAGCAGGTAGTCATATAATTTCCTATTTGAGAGAATCAAATTTTGGAAGGAGTTTATTGGTACAGTTTCTGTATAGCTTAACAAACCTGGATCTTGAGCACTGCAATCATTTGAGCTGTAGGTGGAGTGATGGTAAATTTCCATTCTGATCTCCAGCGTCCATTCCTACCAAAAACAGAAGCTAGATTAATTATAAGAATGGGGGAATAAGTTGAAAATTATTCCCTCTAAATGGTTTTCAGGTTAATAAAATGCCATTCCTTTCAATGTAGTATTTCCTAGAGTCTATACATTTCTATCGCAAGCTCTTTGCCAGAGCTGAAAAAATAATTTTAAATGCCTCCAAAAGTGATGAGATTTGGTGAAGTCATAAGTTTATGGCTGTTTTTCAAATTGCATTATTTATCTATTCGGGCACCAGAAGTGTCATAATACTCAGTATTAAAAATATAATCATATACGAATTATTCAGAGTCTATATGTACTTTTACAAAGAAGAATTACAGTTGTTCCTATTTATTATAATAAAACAGGCATAAAAGAACAATACATATGTATTCTTTTGGGATCAGTACTCAGTGATTTAACTGTACCATTTTAATTGTAAATAGTCACTAAATGAGGCAGCTGCTAAATGAGGATTACCTGTATGTAATTTTACCTCTTAACAAAGAGAATTTTGAAAAAGCAAATACCATTCATTTAGACAGGGATATGCAATCATGGGATTCCATAGCTATTTTTGACTACAATTGTCATACTTCATAAACTTCTATAATATTGACTCAAGCTTTTAGAAGTAATTGTCAAAACTATCTTGGAGGTTTACATTTACCCATCATAAGATAATGATTTATTGGGTCAGCAGAGATGAATCTATTCAGCCAATAGAATCTTTCTTCTCAAAGCAAATTCCAATTTAAGTGAATCAGAATTAAATTTACCTCTCCATTTTTTCAATAATTATAAATGCCCATCCCTTTCTGATATCATTTGCACTTTAATGTGCATATACAGTCTTTGACTTACAATTGGTCACCTAGCAACTATCTGAAGTTACAACAGACCCCACCAAAAGCTACTTACACCCCAGATTCCAAGTTCTGACATTTCCCTTCCCATGGTCACGTGACCACATTTTGGGTACACGGCAACCTGCCTGCATTTAGAACTGTTTGCAGCACTCCAGAGTTACCTAATCATGATTTTATGCCCTTGTCAGAAATCAGTATTTATTTAATTTATTTATTGATTTGATTTGATTTTTATACCGCCCTTCTCCAACAGGACTTAGGGCGGTGAACAACCGAGATAAAACATAACATATAAAATTTAAAACAGTTTAAAAGACATTAAATAATTTCGGCCCTCAATTTAAAACAACCCAGTGAAAACCAATTTCAAATTAAAACCGAAAGGATGGGATCAAGCCAGCCCGATTTCCAGCAAAAAATACCCCAGAGCAAACAATGAGTTTGCTTAATCTCCCTATTTGCTTTACAACTGCCACATTTGCTTAATAGCCACCACAAAAAAGTCATAAAATCAGGCATGGTCATGTGACCCACTTTATGACATGATTGTCATGATTTACAATCTAAATTAGATTCAATTATAGTTGTAAACCTGTATACAAATATATGGTTTGTAGACCTGTATACAAATATTTATTTAATAAAATTTCTTATATAGCACCCCCAAAAGATGAATTTCCTCTCAGAAATTTAAGGTTCTAAGAAATATGAAAAATTAATTGAAAGCATATATTTTTTTTAATAATGACAGTTATATGTGGGGTATAAGTTAAATAATTAGAGACAAGCTTACCAAAAGTTTTTGGGTTGAAACTGGTGACTCTCAATGCAAGCTATAACTGTTGGCTGTCCATCTATAGTTTTACTATAAACCTGTTTTCAAAGAAAAATATTTACATTGATAAAAAATAAATGCACTGCAAATCCAATTGTGTTAGCTTTTGTGGAAGACGGGTGAGAAACACTTCTGATTCCAACTTTGAAAGAGCAAGTATTTTGACCCTATCAGTCAAAATACTTTTTTACAATAATTAATATAAGGATAAAGTTTTAACGTAAGAAGAGTTATATACTTAACAGTACAAAAGCCATGTGGATAATGATCTTTCACATAAGCTCTTAATGCATTATCACAGGCATCCCTCCAGGACTTTAGTGATGTATCTATGTCTTCTGGCTGAGGATCGCTTGCTTCCTTCCTCAAATGATCAAATTTAAAGGAAATCTTATTCCTTGGGTCTAAAAACCGGTTGTTACCAAAGTCACCATGTTCTGTGATTTAGACCTAACAGAAAAAAAAAGAAACCCACAAAAAATTTCAAAAAATTGTCTGCTTCACATAAACCTTAAGACAAAATAGAGATTTTACTGTTTGAAAATATCTGAAATTCCACATATTGTTCAAAGACATAATTTACTGTGATAATCCAGGTAGAAATTGCTATTGTTCAAAATAGGATTGCTATTTAATTCCTACTATCTCTGACAGATTAATTTTTATGATCCTGCAAGATGAAAACTTAAAAAGAACAGTAATTCGAAATTGGAAACATCTGTTCAGCACAATTTAATTTACATCAAGTCATCAATTCCTGGGATAAATTATTCTTTGCTACTTTGCAAATGAAAGGACCACCTCAAAGAAATACCATACTATGCAACCAAATTCCTAAACAAATTCAGAACACAGTATCTCTTTCCTTAAGAACTGTAAGAATGAATTAGTTCAACATCTGATTATAAATTTTTTCAAGGAAAAGATTCCTTGAAAGATTTGATTTCTCTTTGAACATGAAACTTTCTATTCCTTTTCAATTCAAGTTAAATACATAATACATTAATACTGTATGTCCAAATCTTCCCTTTGCCATCATGATAATTCTTATTCTATGCCCAGGTCTCATGTTGCAGTTACATCAGCCCTCACTTTGCTATGCTCATTTTATTGTTACTGTTTCTAAATTTAATCGTCAGGCCTGAAGAGACTTTAGGATAGTGCTGCATCTCTACAGCAGTTTATTCAAAATGCTGCAGCCTTTAAGCATGAGAAACTGCCATAGTATATTGCTATCACTATTATGAATACTCAATATGACACTGAGAAAAAGAGATTGTAATGTAAAGAGTATTGGAGGAGGGCAAAAGATACCTAAGCTGAATTTATACTTACAGAAAAGCACATATCTGTTAGTTCTCTATGTGTTGGTTCTTCAACATTCTTCTATTTCTTAACAGAATAGCACATGATGATATACAGTATTACAAAGAAGGATTCCATCATAACCTGACACAAGTATATAACATGAACAACACCTTCCAGTTCAGCATTATATAACTAAGTCAAGATTCTTTATATCAAGGTTGGGAAAGTATGAGAATCATAGCTGCTGGAATTCTTTTAATGTCTTAATAATAGTTCTGTTCAGGAACAGGAGACCATGAAACTGAGACACCTCTGACATTTTTTTTCTCAGCTAGCTCTACTTGCTTTTGAATGTGATCTTTTTTTTTTTCTGGCTTCTCTCTCCATACCAAATTTGACTCTATTCTGTTCTGGTTTGAGAAAAGTATTCTAATGACTGAGTCTATAGCTATTAGTTCTATCCAACATTTTCTTGGCTTTGAAACATAAAAAAGTGGCAGAGACCAGTAAATAAAATTCATTTGATGTAGAAGTGTTACTTTCTACACATATTTCTATAGAAAGATTATACTACTGGTATGTAATTAATCCCAAAATTCAATAAGCAAACACTACAGTAGATGACAAGAATCATTACAATTCACCTGATCATCATATCCTTCTATCTTCACTGGAGTGAACTGATCCATATTATACTGTGCAAATGCGCTGTCAGAAACAGATAAGTAAATATTAGCTTCTGATTCTATAGAAAAACAGACACATAACCCTACACTCTTTAAAGTATTTATAAAACTATGGTCTTGAATTAATATTTTGCCACTATAGGAAAAAATTACATTAAAACTTTAGGTTTACACTACAGAACAATTTCAGAAACAATTACACTTTCATAGTACTTACTGGGCTGCCCCTTCCCTGAGGAGATTGTCATTGTTGAGCAGCAAACGAACATCTAAGGAAGAAAATATTCACATAAATTGGCAAAAATGCTATGGCTTTGAAGCAATGTCCACTGGCACTCAGGTTCATGTCTGAGTAAAAGTTGCTTAGCTATATTGTTCTCAACAGGAACTACTGTTCTCGGTCGGAACTGATAAGGTTCTCTTAGAAACATATGAGAACTTAACACAAATATAGAAAGGATATTAAAAGAAAATACTATCGCTTCCTCATAGAACGTTTTCATGATTCATATATACTTTGTGAAGATTATATTTCTTGTCACTGAAATCTGCTCTGAAAGTTAGATTTTTAAAGATTACACTAAAAGAAATATAAATATGTGTATGTTACGATGGATTCATTTTTAAATAGAATTGAACTTTAAAAAGCTAAAAACTTAAAAGCTGAACTTCTTGCGCTGCGAGACTCCCCCCTCTCGCAGGCCTGGCCCTCCATGTTATCGAGGACCTACCTTGATGATGGGCTTTGGAGCCCAGAGAGGTGGCATGCAGCGAAGAGGGGGTTGAGGGGTTTTTTACATAAATTTTTAGCTAAACTTTTAAGGGGCTCCAGGGAGGGGGAGGGTCAGATTAGAATTAGGGCTGTGGGTATGGGGGATAACCCACCTAGGAGAGGGCCAGGTCTGGTTGCGAGACGAGGCGCGGCATGGGAGGTGGGGGTTCCGGGGTCAAGGAGGGGTTAGAGCTTATCCAGAAGATGTTTTTGGCATCAGTACTGTGGGTGGGAGGGGCAGGCATGACGGGAGCAGGGGTGGGAGGGGCAGGCATGACGGGAGCAGGGGTCCATATCGTGTTGTGGGAGCGCGCACCCGCTGTCTCCGAGCAGTGGTGTGCTCCGGCCCCCAATGCTCTACTTGTTCCCCAGGTTGCACAGATCCTCAGGGCCCGGGCCTTCGGCTGATGTTGTGCAACGCCAGGTCTGTTGTAAATAAAGCCTCCCTCATTTGTGATCTCGTTCAGGAGGGGGGAGCAGACCTGGCGAGTATTACGGAGACCTGGTTGGGCCAGGAGGGGGGGTCCCCCTCGTTGAAATGTGCTAGTTGTCGGGAACAACTAGCACATATGTGCATGGGGAACCTTTACCTTTTTATTATTTACCTTAAACTTTACCTTATTTATTATTACTGACATTGTGTCCTTGCTTTAATATTGTTTTATTATTTTCCAGCTTCGCTGCTCCGACAATCCACATGGGCACTAAGTTGCAGTCTACTGAACCTCCTTCTACATATCAAAGGCCAATACAGGATTATACTGATACTGCATACCCTAATCCTATATTGGCCTTTGATATGTAGAAGGAGGTTCAGTAGACTGCAACTTAGTGCCCATGTGGATTGTCGGAGCAGCGAGCTGAAAAGGAACGTTCAGGTGAGTCAATAACTAGGAGTCAGTGCAGATTACATAGAATATAAATAATAAAAACAAAATAAAGACTGTAAATTTTTACTAACAATAATATTGTTAGTAAAAACATCAATGACCTTTTGTTGTTTTACTTACCATTAAACACTTCATTGAATTCCCCTGGGGGTGCATGGGTGATAAATTTTGCAGCAATGCGAACCTATAGAGAAAACCATATGAGCTTAGCAAGTCAAGTTTTACTGTAGTTTTTAAAGTGGTATTTAGTTTTAATTGTAGAATGGACAGTTCTCACCTTTTGTTCGCCATTATAAGATCGATACATTCGCCTCTGCAGACGCTTCATTTGGCCGGAGGGTATTGCAATCTGTCCACTCTCCTGGGACCCTGGGACCCAGCCAGCCTCCCCCCCCAATAGTCGGGTGCTTGGGCATATCCCAATGAGGAATTGCGCAGCATCGCCATGGAAAATGAACGTTGTCTCACCTGAACGTTCCTTTTCGGGGCGATGCTAAGCAATTCATCCCTCCTCTCAGGCTGTCTGGGACGGGAGCGGGTTCTTTCCTGTTTTTCCTCCTCAGATCACGACTACTATGGGGTACCTTCGAGAAATAAACTGCCGTGCTGAGGAGCCAGGGAGGAGTGGCCAGCAGAAGATTTAAAGGCACAGCACACTCTCAGTCCCTAGCAAGATGTGAGGGAGATCCCAATGAGGAATTGCTTAGCATCGCCCCGAAAAGGAACGTTCAGGTGAGACAACGTTCATTCTCATATATAGCCAGTTAATATATTTCTGACCTACTTTACTTTCAAAATATATCTTAGTATGTTGTCTGACTTTCAACAGTGCTGAATAATACCTTATTCTTAACTTTATTGTATGGAATATCTGTGGCATAAGGTTGATTTTATTAAGTTACCTCAGTGACTACAAATTACGATTGATACAACATAAAAATTGACAAATTAAAGAAATTCTAAAAAAAACGCTATTTGGGGAAGAAAAGCACTATTCCTTACTGACTTTCTAGAACATTGCTCTAGATGGTTAAAAGTTCAAGCGCTATAGTATGAGCTTTTATTAGAAATTGTACCTGTAAGCAATAATCATGACACTATGATTACTTTAAAGCATTGCTACTCAGAGATTATTTAGTTTAATAATTATTAACAGCCAATGCAGTAGAAAATGATAGCATAACAATAAATTTCTCAGCTAGTTTTCCTCTGAATCTCTGAATATGACAAGGACACAAAACAATATGAAACAATGAAAACCCTCCTTTTAAGTTACTATAATGCTATTTCTTATAATCATCTCAATATTTGTCTAGTCCAAAAATTATTATCAATACAGTCCTTGAAGACTACAAAGTTTTAAATTGTCCTGTAGTCAATGCTTTGCTGATTTTATCTCAAGTGCAAATATAGGAAAAGAATATATTAAAAGGTATATATTCCATTAGCAAATATTTTTAACTTCTATCTAAAACCAATGGTAATACTGTGCAGGATTGAAGGAAAATATGTAGTTAAGAAACTGCACGTAGAACCATGAAAATAAGTGAACAGAGCCAATACAATATTGTATTTCATTGAATTTTAATAGAATTTTATATATTTGTGTCACATTAAAAAATAATGACAAATGAAACACTCTGGTGACAGTAGTACCTAATGTTCAGGATCCACTTTTAGCCCTGCTCTGTCATAGTGAATACTATAATACTATAAAGCACTTTCCTTGATTTGGTTTGGTTTTTTTTATCCACAGATTTAGATCATAGAAACAAATATGTTTCACTTGAACTTCTACTGATCACTTTTTGAATTAAAATTTTCATTTACATATCCATGCATTACTTTCAATAGATCAGACAGCCAGGCTAGATTTAAATTCAGGTGAAGTCCAGTCTGGATCTTCACAAATGCTTGTTCTATAAGGTATTTCTAAAGGAATATAATTCTAATACATTTTGTAAATGCTTCTAAAACGGCTTCATCAGTCCAACAAAGTTTGACCAGTTTCCTTTCTCACTCTTCTTTGTACTTTTTTTATTAAACCGTTATTATCTCTTTTGTTCTCAGGGAAATAACTCTCTGTTATGTTACGAATCATCATTTATTATGAGAACTGAATCTCTCAATATCTTGTCTCTTCTTTGAAGTCACCGCCTGGGTACTTTTCCACATGCTGTATTAGCTGAAAACTTTCCTGATTAAACTGTTTGCAATTTTCAGCCTTGAGTCTATCCAAAAAAAGTATCTTTTTTCATCACCATTCACAGAAATGCATGGCACAAAGCTAGACATTATTGCTATACAATGACAATATGCTAATTAGTAAATTATATTGCTACATGAATCATTAATATATTAAGTATTAATATTAATATTAATGTATTACATATGTTCTCCACCTTGATTACTTATAAAGTAATAAAGGTGGGGTAAAAATCAAATTAATAATAATATGGTTAAACATTATTAATACTTTCTGACAGTTTGTAGTTATATAAAATTCCCAATATATCAGGATGGATATCTATAAATATTCTTGCTGATCTTTGTATTTATTATATATAGAATATATTATAAATAATGCTAATGTTGTTCATTGCTACTTACACCTAAGTAATTTTCATAGAGACTTCAGTCTATTAGTTTTCTTGCACTCTGAAAAATGTTTGACATGAAGAGGAGTTTGGGTTCTTATTGTAAAAACTGTATTAATTCAGATTAAGTTAAATATTACGGTATAAACTAACAAAACTGCAAGTAAAAACAGAATGACTATGACAAAAGAAAACAAAGATAGTACCAATGGTAATAGATGCCTTGGGTACAATCCCCAAACATCTGGAGCATCAATTGGACAGCACCAGCACTGATAAAAGCAGCATGAAGTCATTTGCAAAAGACAGCTTTTTTTGGAACAACCTACATGCTGCAATACCTTTATACCATCAAATAACATCTACCTCACCGAGGTCTTGAGGACAGAATGCCAAATCCAGTCTAAATATCTGCCTGACTGTGCAACCAACTATAATAATTCAAAAACTAAAATAGCAATATTCAGATCAATAAAAAACATTTCAGGATGCTATAAGTGTTCTAAAAGTAACATTTTTGAATGAAGATACATACAAGGAAACCAGTGACTTGTAGTACATCAGTTGAAATAATGGTCTTTATGCAACTTCACAATATGCAATACAAATAGTCCTCAACGTATGATCACAATTGAGCCCAAAATTTCCATTGCTAAGCAAGGCAGTTAAGTAAGTTATTTTATGAGTTTTTGTGCCACAATTGTTAAGTGAATCATGTGGTCATTAAGCAAATCTGTCTTCCAGGTTTTGCATATCTGAAGCTTGTAATTACATGACCCCAGGACAGTGCAACTGTCTTAAATGTCAGTTACCAAGTGTCCAAATTTTAATCACATGACCTTGGGATGCTACAAAGGTTGTAATGTGAAAACTGGTCATAATTCACTTTTTTCAATGCCACTGTAACTTGAAATGCTCACTAAATGAACATATGTAAGTCCAGGATTACCTATATTAGGATGTATATCAGCAGCAATATTGTATAAATGATTATAATTAGTAATATAACTGTCATATTATTTTCCTCTGGCCTGAGTTATCAGCCTTCTTCTATATGTATTTGCCCATATAGCCACTGCTCATATTTTTACTTGAAGTAGCCTAAAACTAATATTTATGAACTAAAGGTGAAATATCTCTAAGCAATGTACACCATATCTCACAAATCAAGAAAGAAATGCCAACTTTCCACTAATCAAAGTTTCATGATTTTGTTCTTCTCATATCTGTTATACAAGATAAAATTTCAGAAGCTAGATTCAATCAAATGTGATTTTTATGCCAGAGAACTTTGCATTATTACTCTTTGACATTTGAGGGAGTTCTTATGCAGCATTAAAAAAATAATATTGCAAAAACTGTGTATTGTATGTCTTCAGTATATCTAGCACATAGATATGAATGCATGGTCTACAAAAGTATACAATTTTCTGTGCGGTCAGGAGGTCTCTGTAAAGATTACTGTATTTGTATTAGCCATTATTAAAGGACTGCTGTGTAAGAAAAGGAATGCTAAAGCAATTAGAACAAATATGCACTTATTGTTAACAGCCCACATAGAGCTCTCTCATAATTAATAGCCAAAGGAACAGTATTGAATTAGGCAAGGGATATTTCTGAAGGCAAGTGTATAATTTTCCTATTAACAGCCCAAACCAGAATCTCTGTAAGAAGAAGGCTTCTAAAAAGGCTTTGAGAAGACCTGAGGTATGTTTGTAGTTAAAAAGCCTGAAGATACTCATATTTATCCCTGTATGTAAGCCTTGAAAGTAGTTTGCATAGTTAATTCCCAGTAAATCACAAATAAAATAGAACACACAACATACAGTATTCACAAAAAATGCAAAATCAAGAATGTAACATTAATTTCCTCTATAGTAGATAAGACCATGTTTATTTTCTGATGTAGATTAGACTGAATTGAAGCTTGAATGTAGACATAATTTTTAGAATTTAGAAACTAATAGCAAACAATTGCTAATTGTTATTTTAAGTGTGGTATTTCTGTTTTAATATATTGGATCATTTTTGTTTTTATTAACTGTATTTATTTATTATATATCTATTTAGATGGCTTCCTCAATTGACACAGACATCTGAGTGATTAGCAAGCAATAACTTTAATTATTAAAAAAAAAGTTAAAAGAACATGGAACATGTGGAGCACAACTCAAATACTAACAGCCATAATAGTAAACTGGCTCACTCGTGCCTAAAATTATGAGAAAGAGTTAGATTTCTATTGTCTTACATAAGGTCAGAAAAGCTGGGGCCATTCAAATCTTGGGTTATATGATGTTCCATAGGGCACAGCATATCATTTTCCATGAACATAGCAATAGCACTTAGACTTGTATATCATTTCATAGTGCTTTTACAGCCCTCTCTAAGTGGTTTACAGAGTCAGCATATTGCCCCCAACAATCTGGGTCCTCATTTTACTGACCTCGGAAGGATGAAAGATTGAGTCAACCTTGAGCCAGTGAGATTTGAACTGCTGAACTGTAGTTAGCAGTCAGCTGAAGTAGCCTGCAGTGCTGCACTCTAACCACTGCGCCACATCAGCTCTGGATGGAAAACATGATGGAAAAGACATGCCTCCTGTTTCCCATTAGATGACATCTCTTAATGGAAGGCATTTGTAGCATACTCAGCCTGCCAGAACTCATTCACAATAAAGAAAACCTAAACATTTTTATGTTTATGATTTTTGTTACCTAGCCTTTTCTAAGCGTGCATCTGAAAGAGTATATAAGCAAATAAGATCACGTTTTACAGTAAAGCTTATAACAATAAATAATGATTTATTGTGAGAGTTATCCTGATTCTCTAAGAAGTGTATTCAACTTGTAATGTGAAAGTACAACTGCCACCCTCAACTATATGGCTGGCAAAGCAAACATCTGCATCCAACTTGATTCAAATTAAATGAGATTATAGGTATTGAAATGTTACAAAAAGACAAGATATTTTGCATTTTGTGAGTTAAAATTTAGATAATATCTATGAAAAGCGAGAGAAGCAATTCTATTTATACTGAACCATTTATACAAAAACATACTTCTAATAGGGAATATATTGCTTTTCAAAATCAAATGCAAGCTTCTGTAAGAGATGCATGCTCTTCTTTTATGCCTTAACAATTTCTGTATAACATTATAGGATCAAATACAATCTTTTCCATTATTCCACATGTGAGATATAGATGAGAAAATAAAAGTTTTTTTAAAAAACAACTTGCACAGAATAAAAGGACATGTTTGCGTCTAGAACAATCAAAGTACTTAGAACTGCAGATTCTACATTGCTTCTGGGAAGATTGCTTTCAAAGTTTTTGAATAAAATATAGAGATATGCAAAAAATACTTCACCAGGGTCAACAGTGGAATTTACTTACACAAGTAAAACCAGTATTTATTTCAAATTGCTTTCCATTTTCTGAAAAACTGTCTATTGAAATTGCAATACTTGAATTTGCAACACTAAGCCTTTTAAAACAAGAATGGTCAAGATTTCAGTTTGTAAACATCATCTATCCATCTAGAAGCAGGTTATCCAGATTTTGAAGCTTATTTAAAAACATAGAGGCACATAAATATCAGTGTGATATATTCCAAAATAATGGAATGTTCCCTCCCTCAAAAATGTTTACCTTTAATACTTGTTAGCCTAGTCAATCTTTTTGTTGGGATTTTATTATCAAATTCATGTGTTTATATTTTAAATATACTACCTGTAGCTGAAATACCAGGGGACAATTTTTTTAAACAAGAGTGCTATATTACTGAAATATATCAGAACTCCAGAAATTTATTTGGAGTATAGGTATATTTCATAGGAACACATATTTATAGAATTTGTCTTTTCAAAGGAAAAAGAGTGAACATGGTATCTCACAGGACTTTCTCTGTCCTGACCTCCTTTAAGGAAGGGCAACACTGAAACATAATCCAAAATCTCAGCAACTATCAGAACCACAATATTTAGTGGATGAACTGTTGGAATTAAAATACAAAGTGGAAAATCATAAAGCATACCAGTGTAAAATTAACATTTCCCTTAAAAGACCAACGTTCACAGAAACTCAGGACAGTTTCCCAATATGTTCCATTAATTTATGGGGAAAAAAACCCACACTCCAGTGAAGTAACAAAAGAAATATAGAAAGAGCAGTAAATTTTCCTGTCAGTTAATTTTCCGACAAAAATGGTCCTCTTAAACTTCCGAACCTCCTCAGTTTCAAGAATCTTAGTCCGGCTAAGAAAAATAAAAGCAATGAAAGAAACCTCTGTACACTCCGAGAAGAAAGGTTTATCTTTCTTCCGTTGGTAAAGATATCCCAAACACCCCAGGCTTCTTACTTTCTCCTCATCCGACACCCGATCTTCGAAGTCCGCCATTTTGGCTTCTATCTGTCTAGCCCCACCTGTCACCCCGCGCACGGCACGTCGGGACGGGAGAACTTGGGGGCGGAGCCAGAAATTCGCCGGCCGGATGTCAGCGGAGCGGATGTGGCCGGCTTGGTTAGGATTATTGCCTTGTTAGGAAGGAAGAGGAGGATGCGCGCTGTCAACTGGCGCTTGTGGCCGCTGTTTGCCATGCAGGGCTGCTGGGCGCCTCAAAAGTCCGTTGGAAAGAACAACTTTTGAAACGTGGATGCTTATCCTACACCTTCGCTCATTAAGGCCGCCTCCGCGGGCCCAATCCCGGTTTTTTGTTTTTGCTCAGCCAATAACTGCATCCGAATCACTTTGGTTCAAATTGCAAAGCAGCGTTTCATGAGTAGCGTTTTTCTCCCCCCCCTCCCAATTTCTGTCCAAATACCTGTCTACGCGCAAACAATAAACCTGGTGCTCAACCCAATATATTAGTCCTGATTTCTTAACGGACCTATCAGAAAATCAGATAACATATCCAACATATCCCATGCAAGATGTAGCTGGGTTTAAAAGGGCTTCCCCGTAAACAACAGCGCGAGCAGGGACGGTAGTCCCGATGAAGCAAACGAGACAGCTGCCCGTCTGAAAGAATCCGAACGAGGGAAGAGAACAGGGAACCGGCGGGGGCGCCTATCCGGCTCCCCACCTACCCGCCGCTCGCGCTGGCTTCCATCAAACGGGTTGAAGCGGCCTGGGCGGCGCGCCTGGTTGATCCCGCCCTCCCTGCCTCCTTCAGCCAGCCAGGCCTCGGCAAGCCGAGGGCGGGAGTCATGGCGGAGAATAGTCCTGTGAATGAGGATGCCGCGCCGTCTCTCTCCCGGTCGCCTGGCCTTGGGCCCGGCCCTCGGCGATGGGAGCGGCTGAGGCTGGCTGCAGGGCCCTGGGCGCGGTCATTCGGCTTCCTGGCGGTGCTGGGTCTCCTTTATTTCTTGCGGGGCCCGCTCCGGCTGCGGGACAACTTAGTGGCAGGTAAGGAAACGGTCGCGCCGGAGTTGTAAACCAGCTCTGTCGGGCAAAGGAAATAAGGTGGCGGGGACGGTGGAGCCTATGGAGGGCTCTTTAAGGTCGGGGTGGAGGAACCAGTTTTGAGGGAGAGCCGAGCCTGACCAGTCGCTGCCCTGCAGTTTTGTATTGGTAATATTGGAGCGTTTAAGAACTTTACACATGATCAGAGATATTATCTCTACTCATTTATGCTGGGTTTGAATCCTGGTGATCACAGCTGCCGTGCTTATTTATCCCAAGCAGAGTTTGGGAAGTGTATTTTGAGGGTAATAGCCTACAGAAAAATTAGAATAAATCCCAAAGGTTTTCCCCCTTCAGATTCTCAGTTTCAGCTTTTGCATATATATTTTTCCCCTCTAGTGTTCATTTTTAAATGTTTCCACTCTCCAGAGGTCTGGTTGTTTCTAGCAGTCAACGGCCTCTTGAATTCCCCACTTTTCATCAATAGTATTGTATTTTAATTCCTTTTTAAATATTTGGGTCTGTGCTTTTTTTGTTTCCTTTAAAAAATTGTTCGTTTTTGTAAGCCCTGGAGGGTGAAAAGTTAGCACGAAGATGCCTAGTGTCATCAAAAATTCAAAAACCTGATCTTAACTTAGGCACTTACAGGAGTCTCTTAAACTTTTATTAGAAAATGGCAAATTGGTAAGCATTTCTCATCCCCAGTACGTTTATTTTTTAAAAAAATTGTCCAGTTATTTTAACTAGAGATTAACAATTCTAATTTGTATCTTGACAAAAGCTTCTAGAGATTCCACCCCCTCCCCAAATATTACTATTGAGTGTAGTGCATTTTACTACCAAGTTATGCATAAGATTGCAAATTTAGCAGCTGGTAGCTACAACAAAACAGTAAAATGGTAATATGTTTCTCGCTGATAACCTTAAATGTTCTGTGCGTTTGATCAAAGACACTTGGAAAGGAAACTGACTTCTTTGCCCCAGGGAAACAAAATGCAATGTTTTTTATTCTTTTAGATGCCATATAAATGCTTAATGTCCTTTCTCTAATTTATTGGCTGAATGTGAGATTTGCTCTATGTATATTGTCATTTCAAATGCAGTGAAAGAACCTTTTGCTGTAAATGAAGCTAACTGTACTAATTATATGACAGCAAGATCTGTCAAATGTTAATCAACTATTGTAACTGGATCTGATTTAAAAAATAATTTTTTAGAGCATGAATAGTCTAAAACCCTAAAGACTATGGTTGAATTTGCATTATATGCTAAGTAGGATTTAGGGACATGTGTATTGTTTTTTCCCCATACAGTGCTTCTTAATTGGCTTTGGAAGTTTATTGGAGATTCTGTGGTACCCAAACATGGAAGATCTATTATTTTAAATATATAGCCTTTGACATTATAAACTAAGTAGGTATATTTGAGGAATTATCTGTATAGGTTAGATCGGAGATGGCGAACCTATGGCATGCGTGCCGGAAGCACGCAGAGCTATCTCTCCGGGCACACCAGCCGTCGTCCATTGCTCTACCGGTTTCCGGTGTGCACATGTGCGCCAGCCAGCTGGTCTTCATGCATGCGGGAGCACCGGAAACCGGAAAATCAAGTGTCCAGCGTGTGTGTGCATGCCGGAAACCGGAAGCTCAGCTTTCCAGCACACGCATGCACGCTGGGGAACTGCTCTTCCGGTTTCCAGCCCTTGTGTGTGTGCGCTCCCATTTTGGCATTCGGTGCTGAAAAGGTTCGCCAACCCTAGGTTATATTATATAGCTAAATTCTAACCAGATTTATTCATAAGTAAGTCCTACAATACATGACAGCCAGTTTGAATAATTGTTAAAGATAGCAAGCTAGAAACTGAGAATATGGGTTCCAGTCCTGCATGGGGCTGGATAACTTTGGGTCAGCCACTATCTTAGCCCTGGGAAGAAGGCAGTGGCAAACCGCTTCTGTAAAGTTGCCAGGAAAACTGCAACATGCAAACAGATGGCAGTAATCAGTCAAAGAGACAAGCAAACAAAAGAAAAGCAATTTTCTCAACATAATGGGTCATGGGTTTATTTTTGATTAGTTCATCACTGACTTGAATTGAATGGCTTCATATATTTTGTTTCTACATGTTTTGAATTTATTTTGCAAAAAGAACATACTTAGAGCATATGTTGTAAGTCATGGATCATTTAGCCATTGTTTATTGAATTACAGTTGGCTAGATTTGCACAATATCCTTCCGTAAGAGCCTGAAGACCTGGCTGTGCCTGTTGGGCTGGGGACCCAATGGGGAAATACCACACTGAAGGTGGTTAATAGAAAACCCAACCTCCCTCCTCGCTCCCGGCTTCCTCACCTGCCTAATTTTTATTCTCATATCACTGAATCATTGTTTTTTTTCATTGCTTATGCTATTGTTCCATTACCTTATTACTGTTATGTTTGCACTCTTTTCATTTATAACTCTCAAGGTAGAGGTTCTTGGATTTAATCTTATCTAGATAAGGTCTTGAGTTTATTCACTAAAACATTACAGGCTATTTTCAGCTATTTATTTTAAATTATTGAATTTCTCATAATAGAGATTAATTCTTAACACTGGCTGGGAGAATACAGTAAGTTGTGCCATATTGTGATTGGTATGGTTTTAGCTTCGTGTGATGGATGAATCCAGAAGTTTGGTCGTTTTAGCCATGGTTTATGTTGTAATACGTGTGAACAAGACCACTTGCCTTGCTTAATATAGTCATCATTTTCTTAGCCTGAAGATTGTGAAATCCAACTGTATTAACCAACAAGACTTATCTTTTCATTGGCAGTGACTGTTTTCTTGAGCACACTGACTCCAAAATTCTATGTTGCACTTACGGGGACTTCATCCTTGATATCTGGTCTGATATTTGTAAGTATTTTTCTGCATTTCTGTGTTCCTTAACTAATCAAGCAATATAGAAGTGAGCTAAATTGTTGCTTGAGTTCATAGTTTTTGAAAACACTGGAAACAAACTGAGTATTAGAGAAATGTTTTACATATTCATATAAGACTGATTTTACTGTATTGACCTCATCATTTTTCCCGAGAAGTTAGTTTCAGTTGTTGTCATACTTGGAACAGACTCATTGATATGAATCTGCCTTAAGTTAATCTTATTTGAATCCCATCAATTTCAATTGTCTAAAGGTATAAGCAACCCTATGTTCATTGAACTGAAAATAAAAACTTGGTTCCTTGGTTCCCTTTGAGGATTAAACTATGTTTGCCCCTGCTATTGTTACATTTCTGCTCTAAGCAGAGAAGGTAATTTTAAAAACATGCTATATTTATGTATACAGCAAACAAGAATGAATTAGGTATCTTTTTAAATTTTTACAATACGTGGAATATGGTGACCATGCCTAATATAATTTGATGTATCATTTCATCAAAGCTGTAGATTTTTAAAATTAAATTTTATGCAAACTCTGCTAGCGCTAAATTGAAAATACAGTGCATCTGGTATACTAGCTGAACTCCAGATGGTGCTATTTGATAGAATAAGAAATATAGTCTTGCAAGGAAAAATGTTTATAAAATTACAAAAAACTCATCTGTGAGGAATTCTGAAAGTCAAGTGGCTTGTGATTTACTCAGAACAATTATTTATTTGTTTAGATTATGTATATCTCATATGTTGAGGCTCATTTTGTGAAATGGAAAATGAGTTCTCAGATTCCTATGTAGTATAGTACTGATTGACCACTTGAACATGAAGCCAACTATTAAATATATTTTCTTTCTGACATGAAAAAGAAAAGTTTTGAGATACTGTATTTTGTTTTAATGTCTGGTTAGTTGTGAGGAAATTGTTAGTTTTTTCTGTTGAAGGGTAAATGAAAAGGCAGGATAAAAATATTATAAGTCAATAAAAATGCCAAATCCAGTTTAAATCTCTCTCTCTCTGTGCGACCAGTCATAATAATTGCATTCTATATATTTTTCTGTTTCTTGTTACAGATATTTGAATGGTGGTACTTCAGAAAATATGGCATGTCTTTTATTGAACAGGTTTCTGTGAGTCATTTGCGACCCCTCATTGGAGGGGCAGAGAACGCTAGTTCTGCACAGGCAAATTTTTCCGCTGCTAGTGGAGAAAATGAAATGAACAGACAAAATCTCTCAGGTGATTGTTTCTAATATTTGGCTTTCTGTAAATGTACTTAGTAACTACCCTATATTTTTAAGTTATTTAAGTAACTTGTATAAGGGAGATACATACATACATACATACATACATACATACATACATACATATGCATGAAAAAGAAATGAAAAACAAAAGATATTGGCTTAAGTTTTTGATTGATTTGATTAGTATTTGGAATCATGAAAATCTGTTAATTGCCAAACTGTAAGATTTGTGATTCAGGAGCATCTATTTGTCACTTTTTTGTTTTTTCATGTATTCTGTACTGAAAATCTTTCTTAAAGAAATGGATAATCATTCAAAGTACAATTTGAAAAATCAGAAATAGGACAGACCTGCTCG